GAGGATACATTTATTAAGACATAGAATATGCATGTAAACCTAACAGATCTTATCGAGAGGGTTAGCAGAATACAAAGGTATATATTCAATCAGTTACAAAGTGTTACACATATCAAGAGGACATACGTTCAGTATATCATTCATTAAGACCGTTTCATAAATGAACTTGGTTATAACTTCTATATTAGATACTCAAACAAGTACATAACTCTTAGGAATTAAATTGATATCAACTGGTTGGGGTAACAATTGAATTCTCGAGCTGTAATGCAGTGAAGTTGAATACTCATCCAATCTCTGGGGATTCAGATCTCCTGCAGACACAAAGAAACAGCTGCAGGCTTGTTGCTGTCCAATCCATGCTCTCTGGCTCGGTGGCAAGCAGTGGCTGTGCTGTTATGGCTTGCAACGTGGTGGAGATCCTGTGATGCTCTGCGCTGCTCTCTGAAGACCGGCTAGTTAGTGTTGGCTTTAACTAGCGAAGTTTGTGCACAGGAGAAAAGTTACTGTGGGTCCCAGCAGGTCAGGAAGAGGACCGGTTCGTTCCTGATGAAGCTAGTTCTGAATACTGATTCAGCTGTCCACAGTTCTGACCTGTTCATGAGGTTTGCTGCTGATGCTAACCTCGGGTGGATCCTTTGGTTACTCGTGGCAACCTCCGCTCTGCACTCTTAGAAGAAAGCAAAGTTCTGGCACTCAGGCACACTGGCCGTTATGTGGTGGTCCGGGCTGAGTCTCAGGATGGTCAGGAGGCGCACTGCGAAAATGTCCAGCCCCTGGGAGCCCTTCTGGGCCGTCCTGCCCTGGAATTCTTTCGCACCCCTGGAATTCTTCTTTGAATAGTTCTCCTTCGAACTCTTCTCTGTGTTGCCTGTTTTTACCTGGAGGAACTTCAGCTCGTTTTTTGGCTGAAAGTTTTATGGGCATCAAAGACCCACGTGGTTACTCTGCCCTACCAGTTCCTGATTGGTTGATCAAGGTGAGATATGAGTCACTTACTCCTGACACTTAGGAATGCAGTCCAGATGTCCATCTGGCACTCCCTAGACAATAGGCGCCAATGGATGACCATTGATCATGATAGCCAGGCTTAGCTAAGTGCATCCCCATTTGGGAGCTGTCCCTTATCAAAAGAAACCTTAAATCAGCCTGCATTAATAGCTTCTCTGTGGCTGCACCACAGAGATGAAGAGAGAGATAGGGCCTCATTTGGGAAAGCACAGCAACATTTTATTCTGTCTTTTTAACAAGCATTGCCGCTACACCCACTTCACTTTGCATGTCTCCACTATATTCTCACCAGTGAAGAAGTTAAAGACACTGTTTTTATACATACACACTGACTTGACTGCTCCAGTTTCGTGTCCATTTCTTCTTTTATTTCTGCAGTGACTTCACGGGGAAGCGTGTGTCCAACATGATCTCTGTCCCAGATCTCCTCCTGCTCCCGACTCCTTCTCCCACAGCTGCAATCTCCACTTCAGGTTCTCAATTTCCTTCTTCAGTTGCGCCATTTCACTCCTGAAACTGTCCTGCACACACTGTGTGATTTTAAACATGGACCGCCTCACCAGAATCTGAGAGACGCTGCAGAGATTGTCTTGAAACTCGTCCTCAGAGTTAGACATCCTGTTTCGGAAAACTGACATTCCGTACATGATCAACTTGAGCTAAACCTTCATGATTAACTGAAGCTTATTTTTCCAAAATGTATCCAAACATTCTTTTTTTCAGAATTGAACAGAAATACAGATATATTTCTCTGCTGTTCTACTGAAATCATATGTGGGTGTATATCCATGGCTAGGGTGTGAATTCACACTGGAAGCAGTGGGCGTTACTGACTTACTTGTTGAAGCCCCTCAAGATCTTTGCAAAGGATCAGGATTTTTTTTTAATTCTTTTTCTAAATATTTTATGTCTAGAAAACCAACAACGATGAAGAGGGAAAGATAATGTTAAAGATAATAAAAGAATATATGATTTGAATAAAGCAAGCCCTGTACATACTTGTAGAGCCATTTTTCCTATTATGAATTGGATATAGCGCAAATACTAAATATTTTTTATATTGCAGAGATCTTTGTTGGATATAGCGCAATCTTATTATGAATCTAACATCTCACGCATAAGAAAAGAGTGCATGCAGTGTAGTAGCATGTAGCTGCTCAGTATTTCTTTACAAGCTCAGTATTTCTTTACAAATTCAGTGTTTATTTACAAATGGCAAACTAAGCAGTTATGAGCTTTGCTGGATTATTTCATTATTTTTAGATTTTTTAATATTTTGTGCCTTCTTTATTATAATTAAAGATGACAACGATCAGTACAGAAAGCGCTGTGCTAGTAAATATGCTGGTGGAGATTGAAAAAAAATGACTTACTGTAGAACAAAAGTTGGATGTAACTAATATTTTATTAATTTTAGTTTTCTATGTACTGCCTGATGTATTATTTATTTTATGTATTTAGGGTACTTTTTTGCATGGTAAGATTATTTTGTTTTGTTTGCCTCTAATTGTGTTTTTCCCATTATAACAAGTATTAGTATGGCGCACTTTTCAAAAGCGCGAGGTAACACAGGAACACAGCTGTTGGTGTATGGCAGAAATGACGGTATTTTACATTATGCAAGTGTGTGACAGCTCTCCAGCTCTATCTGTTCATTGATATCAGTCATTGATCTTCTGTCTCGCTCTCAACTTGTTTGCAGTCTCACCTCCTGCTGGTCCATTGTCAGAGTGACTGATGAGTCTCAGGACTGTTCTCACCTGTCACCACCCAGTAATACTTCTGCCCTCTCAGTCACAGAGGAGCTCTGGACCAGTCTAAGAGCTGCAGTTTGCAGGTGGCAATTTGAATTCCCCAATTGCAGCTGGCAAGTCATATATCAGATTTTAGACATTTATTCATTTCTGTTTCTAAATTCTTTATTTTCTTAACCTTTGTTTTAATGAAATAGGTATATGGCCTGAGGGTATGAAACCTCATCAACATATAACCTTTGATTTCAATTTGGAATCTAATTTGGCATTAGAACTGATACATATAAATTTTACTGTATTTGTCCAAGGGTTACATGGTGGCACAGTGGTCAGCATTGATGCCTCACAGTGGTGGAGCCCTAGATTTATTTCTTGGGATACTATGTGTGTGGAGTTTGAATGTTCTGCCCATGTTTGTGTGCATTTTCTCCGGGTGCTTTTACTTTCTGGCATCTCATAGTATACATTGTATAAAGATCGCCTATTCTGATCGCCCTATCATCTCATATCGCCGACCACCTAATCTGCGTAACCTCCTTGTTCACAGCTCCCTTGACCGCCCTCAACAACCATCCACACCAGGCACTTTCCCTTGCAACAGAGCTCGCTGTATCACCTGCAAGTACACAGCCACCACCACACTCATTCAAGGCCCCTCAGGACAATTCCGGATCACCCAGACAGCATCTTGTACCTCCAGCAACCTTATTTACTGTATCTCTTGCAGTAAATGCCCAGCCATCTACATTGGAGAAACAGGAAGGAGACTCGGAGACCGCTTCAGAGAACACGTCAGGGCTGTGAAGATTAAAGATCTCTCCAAGCCCATTGTTTCTCATTTCACCTCTGACGGCCACGACCACACTAATCTCTCCGTCTGTGTTCTCAAAGACGGTTTTCCGAACTCATACATCAGAAAGACCACCGAAACTAAAATTATTCTGCAGTTAGGATCACACATTCTCCCTTCCCTTAACGACAGATTACTGTTCTTTTAAATTTTCTCCATTCATTGGAAGTTTCATTTCACACCTCTCTGCACCCATTCTGACTTCACACCTCTCGATTGGCCTCTCTTTCTGTCCCCTGCTCCCGCCTCTCACTCCTCCTCCCTCCCAACCTTTGTTCTCCCGCTACTTTACCTTTGCCTACTGCCCTGTCTCTCTCACACCTGAAGAAGGCTCCACGGCCGAAACGTTGTGTTCTCTTTCTTCTTTTTTTCAGCATGGAATAGACCTATTACTTGTTCCATTGTATAAAGATTACATTTTCCGCTCACTTTTTTTTTCCCTTATCCAAAATTTCATCCAAAAAGTGGCCTTTCTGGAGAGACTTGAGGTACCCCAAATCTATCCTTAATACCTGGGCAAGACAAATCCTCTCATTTCAAAACAACAGCTGTCAGACCTATCTCTCTCTCTTTCTGTGCACTTACTCACCTTTCTATACATTTCTATTAACAGAAGTAGTGATGTTACTGACCTGACAAGGTTTTCTTTGTATCTCAAAATAGAATTCTTAGCCATTTTGGGCACTGTCCTGTAAAGATTAGTTGTTTTGATCATTTCAAGATAAACTGGCTACCAGACTAATTGTCTATACAGTTTTCTCAGTTCTTTTGATCACTGTTTTTCAGTCTCACCTCATCTGTTTTTCTCTCACCTTTGACATTAAACAGATACACACAGAAAGCAAGCCACAGCTCACTAAACAAAACATTGACCTGAGTCTCTCTGCATCTAACTCTCCTGGCCTCACCCACTTCTCTCTCACCTTTGAGTAGAACCAGACACAAACACAACATTCCACAGCTCAATCATCTTGTAGCTAACTGTAGTTTTATCCTTACCATAATTGAAAGTGTGAAAATGTCTAAATTATCAATAAGACTTTATTATAAAAGTACTGTTTTACTTTGAAAAACAAAATACTATAAGGTTTTTTTATAATGAGATGACAAAATAGAATACACAATAGAACAAGGATATTTACAAAAGGTGCCTATAGCCATGCTGTTACCAACAGTAAAAAGCAGTAACCAGAGGCGCTGTACACAGTGCAGTCCTACCTATTATGCTCTGTTTGGGCCTCTTCGTAAAGCAGGTCCTGTCCACAGGAGCACATCACAGTCTGTATACTTCCAGGGAGCGTCATAGCAAATTCCTTCTTTTGTGCAAAATATTTAAGAGACAGTAGTCTTATGAATGAGTTTCAAAAAAACTTTTTTGTGCAACCTGACTATCTTATAGTTTGATTTTAAAATATTGCCACTATTACAGAATTTAGTGCATATCTCGCATATAAATGCAATACATACCCATTAACAGAATGGTGACAGTTTAATTAGTCTTTCATATTCAATCATATCCAATTGAACTGAATGTTGCCATGTACCTTTACCCGGTGGTTTTATCACCAAAAACATTACAGTGGGATGGAACTGTGCCCCTGGGGTCCGCTGTACCTCAGCTGTGCTCTATGGCAGTCTGGAGATCAATGCTGGCAAACCAATTTATCTGCTCAAATGCTCAAACAAGGAAAGAAATCTGTTTCTAGACAATTTGCAATTTGATTAAATACATGCATAATTTAGTGCTGGGTAAACTATTAAGGTGTAAGATGGTCAAGGATCAACAGGAAGTTTTTTTTTTTTTAAATAAGAACATCCAAATCACACAACATGGGCCTCAAACCACGACCCTGAGATTAAGAAGCTCATGCAATACCAACTGAGTCAGTTTTTATTGTCTTTGTTAATCAAGGGGCGGTGTGGTGGCTCTGTGGCTAAGGATCTGTGCCTGTGGCAGGAAAGTTGCCAGGTCGTATCCCATGGCTGGCAGAGGAATCCTACTCCCTTGGGTCCCTGAGCAAGGCCCTTAACCCCAACTGCTCTAGGTGTGCCTAACCCTGCACTCTGACCCCAGGCTTCTCTCCCTGTCTGTGTGTCTCATGGAGAGCAAGTTGCAGTATGCGAAAAAGACATTTCCTAATAAAGTGATAATAAAGTGATCGTATATAAAAGCACCAGAATACAAAATTCAAAATGTAAAAGTATATACAAGTGTACAAAAGGACTAAAAGAAGTAAAATTAAATGTAAGATGTTAAATAATGGATTAAATGATTAATCTACATAATAACAATCCTATAAGAAAGAAAGAAGTTAACAGAAATTAAACAGTTTTTACAATGGTTCACCTGCAGTGTGCTATTTTTTAACAGGCAGTGGCTGAAACACTGGCGGGAGGTTTGATCATCCCTTCTATTGTGAATTTAAAGAAGTATAATGTTATATTAGCCATATACAATTTCTTGCATTAGGAATTCGGCTTTTCGCATACCCCAGCTTTTCTCCATGTTTTCCAAAGTTTCTCCACTTTTCTCCAAGTATAAAAGTTGCCTTTTAATTATGTGGTGATCCAAAGTCTACTGCCACCCACTGTGTCGTTTGTTGATTATTGAAAGCAGAGCAAATGTCAGTAATCACAAAAGATTATGGTTGCGATAAAAAGTGCTCAGTTCTTTCACACAGATGAAGATTAGAATGTATATCATGGGAATATATTCACTCTCCTTTCTAACAAGGAAAGAAATATTTGATCATTGATTGGTCATCAGTTGTTTTGATCCAATAGGTATATTGTGATGTAGTGCCAGGTACCATTGAGGTGTAATATGTACAAGAATGAACTCTTTGTCTACTTAAAACCCCATAGTGCGCCACAGTTACGCAGATAGTTCCAAAACCCTTAAGTTAGTTTATCTAAGAAAAATAACCCTTTTACACCACTCCACAAACTGTCACACATGCAACTGCTTTCAGATATCATCAATATTAAAATCATAGAGTTTGTTTCCACAGCAGTTATTGTATAATAAACCCAATGAATTTATGGAACACTACAAATCACAATACAAACACTCATCCAGCACAGCACGTCAATATCATCAATTTTGACCAGCATAATCAAATCAAAATGCCACAAACCTTATTGCATATGAAATAGGATAATCTCAACCTCAAAGTGCACATTTCAAATCCAAATCTACCAATGCAATATTCACATAAAATAATTATTTTCCCTGATGACGCAGCATACACGATGCGCTCAGATGAATGAACGTCTTGCGTATTTGTCATTTTTAAAGTGAAAACATTATAACAAAGGTAAATATCAGTATACACATTAAATATATATATATACAGTATATATCATAAACCTTCATTCTTGCTGTAAAAAAACGGTCATTCTCATTCTGCACCATTCATTGATAAGATATATAATTTCAAGTACCACAAATTCTTGCAGATTCCTAAAAAAACCGATAGGTTTTCTGTGTTGTTTAGCTTTGTTGATTTGTGCAAATAGTTGTCAGTCTGTGAATTCTGACCATTAGTGATTTAGGGTGCGTCTAAATCCATCAAAATGATGGCCTGAAACCTAATTCAATAGACTAGCTGTTGCTGCACGCATCGCACAGATGCATTTACAGTGGATATAAAGTCTACACACCCTTATTTAATGTGACCTTGCAATCAACAAAATTCAAAAGAAAAACAACTAGATTATTATTAGGAATAATAATAATAAATAATTTCAAAATAATTTAAATTAAAAAACCTACAACACCCTGGTTGCATGCGTATGCACACCCCCCAACTAATGATTTGTGGAAGCCCCTTTTGCATTTATTACAGCAGTAAGTCTTTGTGAAGTCTCTATCAACTATGCACACCTGGACTTTGCAATTTTATCCCATTCTTCCTTGCAAAAGTGTTCAAGCTCCTTCAAATTGCCAGGCGATCATCTCCTGTGCACAGCCCTCTTTAGGTCATTTCACAGGTTTTCTATGGGATTGAGGTCTGGGCTCATACTGGGCCATTCCAAGACTTGTATCTTTCTTTTCTGGAGCCATTCCTTGGTTAACTTGGATGTGTGCTTTGGGTGGTTATCACATTGGAAGGAGACATTTCTCTTTATCTTCAGCTTTTTGACAGGCCAGCAGGATTTGTGCCAAAATATCTTGATATTTGGAGCTAGTCATTATCCCATCTGTCTTGGAGAGAGTCCCTGTCCCAGCTGAAGAGAAGCAGCCCCAAAGCATGATGCTGCCACTACCATGCCTCACAGTAGGTATGGTGTTCTTTGGATGATGAGCTGTGTTGTCTTTGAGCTAAACATATCTTTTAGATGTAAGGCCAAAAAGTTCAACTGTTGTCTAATCAGGCCATAAGACATTTTCCCACATGGTTTGGGGTGAATGAATGTATCTTTTTGCAAAATTTAGAAGGACTTGGATGTTCTTTTTTGTGAGAAATCATCCTGATCTTGGCAATGTCCCTTGGGTGGCACATTTTCTCCACTTATTGATGATACATCCAATGCCTTTGATATTCTTTTATACACCTCTCCTGATTGGTACCTTTCAACAATAAGATCCCATAGATGTTTTGTCAGCTCCTTGCGGACCATGTCTGTCCCAGTTGGATGCAACT